TATTAAAGACTCCACCAACAACGACAACAACCATAATTATTATTAAAAACTCCACCAACAACGACAACAACCATAATTATTATTAAAGACTCCACCAACAACGACAACAACCATAATTATTATTAAAGACTCCACCAACAACGACAACAACCATAATTATTATTAAAAACTCCACCAACAACGACTACAACCTTAATTATCATATAAGACTCCACCACCAACAACAAAAACAGAAAGTACACCAACAAGAAGGGCCGGGAAAATGGCGGGAAAGAGGCGGGAAAGAGGCGGAGACAGTTGGCCCAACAGACTATTGTTTACCCGTGGAGACATTTGTGTGAGTTCCACTGAGCAGGCACAGGGCCGACCTGGACAACGCCACACACACCTCTTGACCAACAGACGCTGGCCGCCCCAGGCTAGTCTACTATACTGCATGAGCGTTGACTAGCCATTGGTGACGGCGTATTGCGTCTTTGGCACAACAAAGGAGAATTGCCACTCTTTTCTATTTATAATTAGCCATGGTTTGCTGAAAACTTTACCTGGACGGCTTAGTGCGCATGTCTGATATCGCCGTCTTTCTGAGTGGTCAATATCGATGTCCGTCTCAAGCTTGGTTACCCAACGTGAACACATCTGGTCAGCCAGCCAAAGTTAGTTAGTCAGATGACTGAACGTTCTCGTTTTTCAATCTTCCAAGAGTTGAGGCTCACTTAAGTTGTGGCGGATTCTTCAAAGTGATTGTTGGAAACGTTCACGACTTGGAAAGGAGTGATAATTTGTACACAGTACAGTGTTTCACACATTGTTTTACAGAGTGTTTCATACACTTCACCACGTTCGGACGGATTAATAAAAAACAACCCACCAACGTTTGCTGTTTGTCCAGACATACACCACAGTGGACCAGTGGAGCGTCAGCAGCGTGGGAATTTGTTTTTATACCAGCGTGCCCTTATTATTCTCTGCCGGTGAATGTGAGTATGGAGGAGTAACAGAAGTAACTGATCAGTAAATTCATTATCTTACCTACTTAAACTTTCAGTTCAGTCAATGATAGTAAAGTAGTAAATCTAATATAAAAACGACCGAAACCAAACATCAAAAGTCTACTCCTTTATCTGAGGTCTTAGGGTATAGATCTATATATAGTTTCTCCATCTATTGTTTTGACACGTTTGTAGTGGGGGCTTAACTATTAGAACCATGCCGCATATTTTGGATTACCCATATTTTGACTGGCAATACTTTTCGACGCTTGAGACGATTCAAACAGTAAAGACCTTCAAATTTTCTATATATCTCTATAAATAGTTGCTTCTATAAATAACTACGCTCAGAGCGGGACCCGTCTCCTTTCCGGGTTTCGGTTTCACTTTCGTGTTTTTCAAGATGGCGGCCAAGTAGAAGCAAACAGAGCAAGTTCGTTTTCCGAAGAAAGAGAATTCCATGTGACTGTAATCTGAAAAACATAAAGTTAGGCAGTTTCTATTTCTTGTATTTTTAATGTTTTTTTGATTGATGTTAAACTTTCGAAAAGATCGTTAGTTTAGCTCAAGCTCAAGAGTGAGTGGCCATCTTGTCCTAGTTTTGTAACGGCTAGCCTCTTCCCTACTATAATATTATAAGGAAGTATAGATCTAGATCATGAATGACTCCCAAACCAAGATCGCAAAAGAACAAAAACTCATTTGATTAAAGCTAGATCTAGATCTTGAGAAAGAACGAAAAGTCCTCTCATCTTCAAAAATAGCACAAATTAAGTCCATCAATCACATATTTTAAATTGAGAATGTAGATCTATAGTTTTCCAATCTAATGCTAAAAATAAAAAGATGAACAATAGCTAAGAAGTTAGAGAACAAGTAGGGACAAAACCATGTATGAAATACTTTGGAAAACAACTCATTAAATGGCCCACGTAGGCCAATAAAAGCCCCAGCTTATTTGCCCATGTGGACCAATAAGAGCAGCCTTATTTCAATGTCTTTTTGGTACTAAAAGCTTTCGAAAAGATCGATAGTTCAGGTTTAAGTTGTTTAACTAGAATGGCCATCTTGCGTTAGTTTTGCAGCACGTGATGCAGACGGCCTACCCCCCGTGCCACACTTAGAAAAAAAGGAAAGTGAGAGATGCCTCCACACCATTTTTTTGTCACATTAACTTTTATGCTGAGCTACACCGGCCTCTGTGCTCTCTATATATAGATCTAGATCTAGTGTATAGGCGCTTCACTGTGACAGACAAAGAGTTCGATTCCTGTGCGGGGTGTATTTTTAAAGGATTTCACTCTTTCTATTGGGATACTGTATGGGGACGCAAAACGTCTCCAAATACGAGAAGCACTGCAAACATGTTATGCTTTATTATAAACGGTAGAGCTTTTTGGAGAGTGTATTTAACACATGGTAGCGTCAATTGCCACCGAGTGACGCGGTGGTAATAGACAAGAAATTGACTTTTTGTCAATTGCCACCGAGTGAAGCGGTGTCAAGTCTGAATACAACAGTATATTTAGCTTTATACATAATGTGTGTCTAATGGGTCAATTTGTTCTCAACTAATTTCATTGGACGAACATCTAGTCTAGAGCTACGGTACCAACTTGGCGTGTTTTCAATGAGACGTAGGCCTAGATCTAGGATTCTAGGCTAGCCTTAGCCTACACTTTGGTGTAGAACCAACACAACAGGCAATTCTAGAAGTAGAAGGTCACAAACGCACACAAACTCAAGCACAAATT